AATTTACTTTCAAATTATATATTCTTTACACACATAAACCTTTCTTTTTATATGTGCGTATATATTTTTTTCTTTCTTCCTTTCTTTTTTTTTTTTTTTTTTTTTTTTTTTTTTTAGAGAGTGAGGTAGAGAGGGGCAGAGGAAGGAGGGCAGAGAGAGAGAGAGAGAGAGTCTTAAGCAGGCTTCTGGCCCAGAGTGGAGTCCAGTATGGGCTCTATCTCATGTTCCTGAGCTTTGACCTGAGCAGAAATCAACAGTTGGACTCTTAACCGGCTGAGCCACCCGTGCACCCCAGATAAACTGTCTTATTTAAACTCCTATGCTTTTAAAAAGACTCATGTTTAGTTATATATGAAAACTGCAAATGTTTTAGGCCATTTAAAGTGTATGAAAAATAAGTAAATCAAAAATGACAAATAGTTTGAAATAATTTGAACTGAAAAAATAAAACTTCTTAGACTTTTCTAGGTTTTCATTTGGTAAACGTTGCTTAAAGTGCTTGATTTTGCTTACATATTTAAGCCTAATATAATCAGATGTACTCATTAAAATAAAGGACAATTTTTCTTAGTCTGATTTCCCTGTTGATAAGAAATAGGAAAAGGTGAGATAAAACAGAATTAAACAGACATATCTGCTTAGATCTCAAAAACACACACAAATACATATATATATATATATATATATATATATATATATATATATATATATATTTTTTTTTTATGGCAAGAGCAGTGCTATTCAGTCCTCTAAAATGTACTATAATCCTGGAGAATATTAATATTCTTTGTTTTCTTTTACATTTTAAGTGAGTGTTAATAAGACTTCTTATTTCCTAGGAATCATCAGTAGTTAAGCCTTTTGGCAGATTTTTTATAGTATTTTTTTTAAGATTTTTTTTTTTTTTTTTTTTTTTGACAGACAGAGATCACAAGTAGGCAGAGAGGCAGGCAGAGAGTGAGAGGGAAGCAGGCTCCCCGCTGAGCAGAGAGCCCAATAAGGGGCTGGATCCCAGGACTCTGAGATCATGACCTGAGCCAAAGGCAGAGGCTTTAACCCACTGAGCCACCCAGGCACCCCAGATTTTTTGTAGTATTAAGTAAGACATGAACTTCCATTTTCTACCTGAAAATTTAAAGTAATTTAGTAACCACAATTTGTCCAGAAAAGTTTACTTTGTGGGGTTAAACACCCAAATGTTGCTAAATTATGCCTAAATGATCCTAAAAATTTCTAAATATCCTAAGTATTCCTAAGTTATATAAATTAACTGAAATGTCTTATAAAATGCCATGTAGATTGTAAATATCAGGTTTTCTCTTTACTGACTTTCAGCTTTATTTCTAAATTGACTAATAGGAATTTTTCTCAGAATTATCAGTCACCATTAAATATTTCTCAGTTTGAATATATTTATAGAAATAATCTTTCAAAAGCAAGACATTTTTAGAAATGTTTCTATTAGATGAATACTACAGTAGAAATTACTGATCTGGAAGGCCCAAAAAACAAAAACAGCAAAAACCCTTCAGTTTTGTTCTCAGTTCTGCCACTCAATGTTATTAGAGTCTCTTAAGAATTATGTGTAGGCATTGAATGTGTAAATTGCTCTGGAGAGGATAGACATTTTAACAATCCATGAACTAATCCGTGAGCATGGAATGTTTTTCCATCTTTTTGTGTCTTTCTCAATTTCTTTTATAAGCAGTCTGTGGTTTCTAGAGTATAGATCCTTTACCTCTTTAGTTAGGTTTATTCCAAACTATCTTACGGTTTTTGGTGCTATTATAAATGGAATTGATTCTCTAATTTCCCTTTCTGCAGTTTCATTGTTAGTGTATGAGAAAGCAACAGATTTTTCACACACTGGTTTTGTATCCTGCCACATTACTGAATTGCTGTATGAGTTCTAGTAATTTGGGGGTGGAGTCTTGGGTTTTCCACTTAAAGAATCATGTCATCTGCGAAGAGAGTTTGACTTGTTCTTTACCAATTTGGGTGCCTTTTATTTCTTTTTGTTGTCTGATTAATGAGGCTGGGACTTCTAGTACTATGCTGAACAATAGTGGGGAGAGTGGGCATCCCTGTTGTATTCTTGACCTTAAAGTGATGATAATGATATTCACTGTGAGTTTTCATAGATGATTTTTATGCTATTGAGGAATGTTCCCTCTATCCCTATTCTCTGAAGAGTTTGAATCAGGAATGGGTGTTGTAAAACTGGACAGCTACATATAGAAGAATGAAACTGGACCATTCCCTTACACCATGTACAAAGGTAAATTCAAAATGGATGAAAGACCTCAATGTGAGATAGGAATCCACCAAAATACTAGAGAAGAGTATAAGCAGTAACCTGTTGGACATCAGCTACAGTAACTTCTTTCAAGACATGTCTCCAGAGGCAAGGGAAACAAAAGCGAAAGTGAACTTTTTGGGCTTCATCAAGATAAAAGGCTTCTGCACAGCAAAGGGAACAGTCAAAAAAAAAAAAAAAAAAAACTAAGAAGCAACACAAGGAATGGGAGAAGAATTTGCAAATGGCATTACAGATAAAGGGCTGATACCTAATATCTATAAGGAACTTCTCAAACTCAGCAGTCAAAAAAGAAATAACCCAGTCAAAAAATGGGCCAAAGACATGAACAGATACTTCTCCAAAGAAGACATACAAATGGCTAACAGAAACATGAGAAAATGTTCAACTTCATTAGCCATCAGGGAAATTAAAATCAAAACCACAATGAAATACCACCCTACACCAGTGAGAGTGGCAAAAATTAACAAAACAGGAAACAACAAATGTTGGTGAGGGTGTGGGAAAAGGGGAACCCTCCCTCCTACACTGTTGGTGGGAATGCAAGCTCGTATAGCCACTCTGGAAAACAGTATGGAGGTTCCTCAAGATGTTAAAAATAGAGCTACTCTGTGGCCTGCAATTGCACTACTAGGTATTTATCCCAAAGATGCAGATGTAGTGAAAAGAATGTGCACATGCACCCCAATGTTCATAACAGCAGTGTCCATAAGAGCCAAACTGTGGAAGGAGCTGAGATGCCCTGTAACAGATGAATAGACAAAGAAGATGTGGTACATACATACAATGGAATATTTTTTAGCCCTCAGAAAGGGTAACTACTCACTGTTTGCATTGACATGGATAGAACTGGAGGAGATTATGCTACCTGAAAGGAGTCAAGCAGAAACCGACAATTATCATATGGTTTCACTTATATGTGGAACATAAGCAGTAGTACGGAGGACCACAGGGGAACAAAGGGAAATCTGAAGGGAGAGAAATCAGAGAAGGAAATGAACCATGAGAGACTATGGACCCCAGGAAACGAACTGAGGGTCTCAGAGGAGAAGGGAATGGGGGAGGAGGTAACAGGGTGATGGGTATTAAGGAGTACACATGTTGTGATGTGCACTGGGTGTTATAGGTAACTAATGAATCATTGAACACTACATCAAAAACGAATGATGGTTTTCAGTGGCTAACTGAACATAATAAAAAAAGGTAAAAAAATTATGTGTATGTTGTGAACCTAATTCTTCCTCTTACTAGTTTTTAAATTTTAATTTTTTTATTATTTATTTTTAAAAGACTTATTTATTTGAGAGAGACAGAGAGAGTGTTGGGGTGGGGGGGCAAGGGGCAGAGGGACAGAATATCCAAAAAGATTCCCCATGAGCAGGGAGTCCTACATAGACCTCGATCTCACAAGTCATGAGATCAGGACCTGAGCAGAATCCAAAAGTTGGATGCTTAACTGACTGAGCCACCCAAGTACCCCACTAGTTTTTTAATTAGGTTATCTTCTTATGTCAGGAAATAGCATAATAGCATAGCATAGCAGGATTTTGGCTTTATTCCTTCAATATATTAGATAATGATTCTGAACCGCAGTTTACTAATTTATGAAGTGGATATAATAGTTTCATTTTGGTGATGATTAGATGAGTTGTATGTGTGTTATGCCTGAGTTGAATTTCAACTGTGAGATGTGGTAACTATATAATAATAGTTATCATGTTAAAAGTCTTATATTTAGCTGTTATAATAATTTTAATAGTAAGGATAATTATGATTGTGATTAAATCACTGTATTTAATTATCTTTATCTGCTAAATGAGGAGAACTGGTATCCCCTTCTAAATTCCATACTATAAATTCCATACTATAATACCATATTATACTATTTTATTTTAAAGTGCCTTCTAGTAGAGGATATATTTTTTAAGTCTTACCTTTATGAAGAAGTAAGAAGTATACAAACTTGACATTGGACAGTATTATTTGTAATTTATTTGGTTTTTGATAGAGAAGTAATTACTGAGTGGTGCCCCCAGGTTTATCAGTTTCCTAAAACCCTGTATTTCTTTTAACTATTGCCAAAATTTTCCTTTCTTCAGAAATAGATTATGTCACTTATTCTGTGTTACCGTCACTAGTAACAGAAAATACAGTTAAAAATCTTTGTGTATATGGATGCCTGGGTGGCTCAGTTGGTTACGCCTCTGCTTTCGGCTCTTGTCACGCTCTCAGGGTCCTGGGATCAAGTCCTGCGTTGGGCTTCTTGCTCAGTGGGGAGTCTGCTTCTCCCTCTGCCTGTCGCTCTCTCTGCTTGTGTACTCTCTCTCTGACAAATAAATACATTTAAAAAAATCTTCGTGTATAATTCCTTTTCTTACTCTGAGTAGTGACTTAAATTAAGTTGTACTAAAAAAACGGTAGTATGCTTATATGGTATTTAGTTGTTTTCTTCTCTGCTAGGAGGTGGAGGAGTGACTTAACACTTACACAAATTATTCTTGAGTTACTTGTTGATTTACATGATAAACTTCCGTAAGAAGGTAGGAAGTTGCCCAGTTTTTCTTGTCTGTATTTATATCTGATAAATGCACTGTATTTGAATCTTATGTTTTTTTCCCACTCAGAAGATCCCACTCGATCTTGATATTCTCCCCAAACTAATTATGTTTTCCTTTCGTTCTAGTTCAGACTCGGTTCCTTCAGTCTAGAGAAAGTTGCAAGTCCAGCTGAGGTCATTAGAAAACTTATTTGTGATTGCCTGGACACCATCACAGAAAACCAAGCCAAGAGTGAGCACCTGCAGAAGGAAAATGAAAGGCTTTTGAGAGATTGGAATGATGTTCAAGGACGGTATGTGCTAATGTTCTTGTATTATAAAAACACTAAGCTCTCCTTACATTGTTATAGACTTAAGTTAATGATTTGTAAGTTTATTATATATGTAGACTAGCATATATTAACGTAAAATCTTTACTTAGCATGATTAGACCAAACTATTGATCATTACTATACATTATTGGAGTATGTTAACACTTTTAGGTCATTAGTATTTGGTGGCATCATCAAACTAATGAACAAAAGGAGTAATCAGGCAATGAGAATCAGGAGCCACTAATATTAAACAAAATTTAGGAAGTTGATATTTATAAGATTTAATTTACCTCAAATTATAGGATTAATAATGAATAAAAAGGTATAGAGAGTGTAAATATGCCAATTCATTACTTATATGGACTCTTTATGTAAATGGTAGCTATTTCAAATGCTGTGAGCTTTGGATCCTGATATAGACTTATTTTGCTCATTGAGAATTCATATTACCAGCATTTTAAAAAGGTGATATAATTGTGTTTACTAGATAAGACATTTGGAAACCTTTATTTTCCTGATTTTGCCTCCTTTTTTTTTTTTTTTAAATGATGAAGAATGTCACTTTACTTTTTATTATGCATTTTTTGACTGTATCATAATCTAGGCCAGCCCAGGGTGTATTTTTTATTACTCTGTTATGTAAAAGATGTTTGAAGGAAACAAAATGGTATGTTGTGACCATTTATATCTTTACAGAGACATATAACGTATGCATATGTTGGTACATACATACGTGGCAACATCTGAAAGAGTTACATGGAATGTATATAAAATGATAATAATATTATCATTATATCCAGTATGTCCAGTGGACTTTTTATCTTTCATTCACACCAGTAACTCTAAAACATAAGAACAATTTTCCAACTTAGGATCTTGTTAGGACAATCCTTAAGATTGTTTTATATGGATTGGTAAGTAAATGTGAGAGTATATGAAAAATGTGAAGTGTTTAACACTATCATTCTAGATTTGTGGAAAGGGTGTTGACCAGAAGGAATTATGTTTCTATATATCCAATTACATTTACTAATGTAAGATATGTAAACTTAACACCTAAAACCTAACTTTATTTGACTCTTAGTTATTATATTAAAAAAGTTTCTTGTTCTCTTTTATCTCTGAATTTACTTTTATCCCCAAATGTATAAAAATAATGAGACCAAATCACAACTATGTAAATATTAGGAAACCATAGGGAAAAATAAGTTAATTTTGCTCTTCCTCTTTCTCTTTAAAATCGTGTTAGTATGAATCAATATCAAATATCTGTGCTAGAAAGCACGGTTTTGGTCTTTATCTGTAGTTTGGATATGCTTTTCTCTTTTATATGTGAAATAAATCAAATTAAAGGAGATGTAGTATGGCCGTGATAAGCCATTATATTTAAAACTCAAAATACCCTCAAGATGATAGGAAATTTGATCCACAAATTGCCCACAAAAATGCAGACTGGGTACTTGGTACTTGAACAAATTGCTTTAAAATGTCTGCCAGAGGTTGAAAGAGGTGTTACCTCATCAGTATTCACCACCACTGCCTTTGACTGGAAAGCAGCAGGGAACAAAGATGAGACGGTGGAGACAAACGCACCCTGTGCTGTAAAACAGTGGGGGAGGGCTGTGTATAATATGTGGCCCCCAGATCCTTGATTTACTATTGCTGAACTGTCCAGAAAGTGCTTTTGCATTATTGTGGCAAAATGTTTCCTATCTGACCAGAAGTACAACTATATCTCTCATCGCCAGGCTTATTATGCTCCAACTATTCTTTTCTTGTAAATACTGGGTCACATGTTTTCTTCAGGGGTTGGCAATGTGTTCCATTGTGCTAGCCCCCAGAGGACAGTGAGCCTGCTCCAGAGAATTCTATGCTCTTGATTGTATTCCACATGTTAGATTAGTTAGCTCTATTTTCCAAATTTCCCAAATGGGTTTCTTTCCTATCACAGGAGAAGGTGGGCATTTGAAGGAGCTGTAAATACATCTTGGTCATGGCCAAGCAGTGCTTTCTTAAATGTTCCCTCCCTAGAGCCTTAGTATGGTGGAAAATGAGCAAAGGATTTCTATCTCCATCTTCTGTATGGCAGTAGTACTGATGAAGACTCTTTAGGGAAATTGGAAATAGGGCATGAGCATAGCGAGTTAGGTAACTGCAGACACAGGAAGTAGAAAATCATTGGAGTGGTGGCCATCATGTTAGGCCTGGCCACAGCTCAGTTTTCTGGGCAGCCTCTGATACTCTTATATCAATGTCCATCCATGCTCCAATCATTTCTTTCCCGTCATTGTTTCAGACTGTGTATTTGTGAGGGAATGACTGACACAAAATAGATGGTGAGAATTCCCTTAGAAGCTATGGTGGATATAGCTCCTAAATAAAGGTGATACACAATGGGATATCATATGAGCAAAAACCAGTCATATACCCATGTGCTTGTACCATGGAAAATGTTAATGATATGTTAAGAAGAGAAATGTAGTTAACAAAAAGAGGAATAGCATGCCAGTTTTGCTAAATATATCTTTAGATAGAAAATATCTAGAGGGAGAAAATTAAATGTTAATAGTGTATGTCTGGAATTGTAGATTAAATTTCTTTTTTTACTTTTTGGGAGTTTTTTTAATATGTTTTATAACTGAAACATGTATAATTATAATCAGAACCAACTCTAAAACTATTTCCATTTGGGATGACAGTGGAGAATAGATGAAGTTTGAATAAGAAATGAAATACAGTATGAGTAAAAAATGAGCTTTAATGTAGGCTTTTTATATATATTTGCTGTTATTATTTTTTTATTATTATTTTTAAAAAGATTTTTATTTATTTATTTGACAGACAGAAATCACAAGTAGGCAGAGAGAGATTGGAGGAAGCAGGCTCCCCACCAAGCAGAGAGCCCGATGTAGGGGCTCGATCCCAGGACTCTGGGATCATGACCCGAGCCAAAGGCAGAGGCTTTAACCCACTGAGCCACCCAGGCGCCCCTGCTGTTATTTTTATTAAGTGTTTAATAATTGTGGTCTTAGCTCTGTTTTGAACAAGTGACATAACTGGATCAATTTAATTTTGTATAGTTTAGGTGAAGGAGAAAACATTAGAAATATTGTATGTGAATCCTTAAGTTATTAGCTATATTTATTTCACTTGTTTTTCCTATTAAGTTTCAAATACAACTCTCGAGTTCCATATTCCTGAATAGGTCTTTTGTTTGCATTCAGACATCAAGTCAAACTCCAGCTTTATTCTGCGTTAAAGTTATTAAACCTGTAACTGGAGGCAGTTCTCAGCAGATTGAATTGGGTTGACACTCATGGAATCATTAGAATAGAAGAGACCTTGAAAGCTCTTTTACTTCATCTCTGCCTTCAAGCTAGGATCACATTTTATCCAGATGAATTCAGTCTGATTTTTAAAGACCTCAGGAGATAGCTTCAACTCCCCTTGGTAGCCCATTATAGTGTTTAAGAACAGTCACAGTCAGAAAATTGTTCCTTCCATCTCTTGGTAATCTGAGTCCTTCATGGTATAGTTGAAGGCCATTTCCTCTTGTTCTGTCGTCAGAGGGGATGAGGAACAGCTGTTTACCATCTTCTTCAGTACTTAATGCCTTATTAAATCTCTTTACCACTGCTTTCTTTTCCAGTTCTTTGTAGCATTCTTTGTCCTCTGAACTCCATTCTCATTTTCTTTTGCTGTACATCCCTGACCTGGATATAAATTTGGCCAGAGATGATTGTAAAAAGGTTACTGCATGATTTCTAAGCACCACATGTTCACATTTATGTATCTGATGTTTTATTTTGGGTTATCTTTTAATCTGTTTTAGATTGGATTATATTTTTACATGAAATTGCCTTGTTTCTGCTCCTATTTTTGTTATTATTTTTTGATATTATTCTTAGACTCTTTGTTTTCCTGCATGGAAGTATTTTATTTCTAATATTCACTATTTCCATACTTAGTTTTTATCCTTTTAGTTTTTTAAAATTAGTATTCTTGTATCGTAGTTTTAGATATGTCAGTCCTAGGATACTAATTAACATTATTGTTCTGTTTTCCTAGTCACTGTTGAAAAGATGAAGCATCATTAGCCCTTTCCTGTTTGATATTATTTATGTTTTCATCAGGTTTGAGTTTTTCCTTGGAGACGATCCTTGGACTAGTTGTAGTCTAATCTAGTTATATGTTAGTTCTCCTTTAGTATCACTGACTTGACAGTGAATCTCATGTTTCTCCTTCACTAAATGGCCTCATCTTCTAATACCAATCTAGTTCTTTCAGTGAAAGGTAGGCAGGAGACAAGTAATAATGGAAGGCCTTGTAGCATCATAATGCTGTAAGAGAGGATTGGCATTAAAAATGGGGGAAGGAGAGAGGGTATGTGCTATGGTGAGTTCTGTGAATGTGTAAGACTGTTGAATCACAGAGCTGTACCACTGAAACAGATAATACATTATATGTTAATTAAAAAATAGGGTAAGGAAGATGGTATGTACTTCCTAGCTACTGAATATTTAATAGAAGAATAGAAGAATCCAAATTTGTTGATAAATTAATAATTGAGAATAAATTTTTGTCCTGTTCACAATAATACTCTGTCCAGCCAACCCCTACTCCCTAGCTTTGTCTAGGAAATGTTAACCAGTTTGATGGTTGGAAGTTTGATTGCAAGAAAATCCTAAAAGTTTGCTAAAACCAAGCAAGGTTAAGTCATAGGATGCCATTTATTCTCTTGTTTGTACTCCTATCACAGACATGTTACTTTCGACAGTTTAGTTGTGATACCAGTTATTAGGATTAACGTTATTCTTTAGACAAATTACATGATACTTTATTTTCATATTTATTTTCATTTTTGTCCAAGTGTTGTACCAAGTGTTAATTTTAATAAAGGTTTTGAAATTTGCTTGGTAGTTGTTAAGTGCACATAATCTTTCAATTAAGAATTATTGAAGTGATTTATATGGAAATTAAATACACATTTAAATCAGATAAATAACCAAGTGGTTAATTGTTCCTAAAACTTTATATAATGTGCAAGATTTTTATTGTATGTTTTTAATTTACCTTTGTGTTAAGTATTTTATAGTATACTAAAGTATTTTGGTGGTGTATGTATTCTGTTCATCTTTTAAAATTTTTCTTATTATGTTACATTAGAAAATAGTACAAGAAAATGAGATGTAATGTTTATATAACACTTGCATCTGAAATAAAAATGCAGTGACATATCTATGAGGTCCATCTGGTCCAATGTGTCATTCAGTGCTCTTGTTTCTTTATTGATTTTCTGCTTGTATGATCTGTCTATTACTGAGAGAGGCATGTTAAGATCTCCTACTATTAATGTATTCATATCAGTATGACTCTTTATCTTAATTAACATTGTCTTATGTAGCTGGCTGCTCCGGTATTGGGGGCATAAATATTTACAATTGTTAGATCTTCTTGGTGGATAGACCTTTTAAGAATAATGTAGTGTCCTTTATCTCTGAATACAGTCTGTAGTTTAAAATCTAATTTATCTGATATGAGAATCGCTACCCCAGCTTTCTTTTGAGGTGCATTGGCATGAAAGATGCTTCTCCATCCCTTCACTTTCAGTCTGAATGTATCCTTAGGTTCCAAATGGGTCTCTTGTAGACAACATATGGACAGGCCCTGTTGTTTTATCCAATCTGCAACCCTGTGCTGTTTTATGGGAGTGTTTAGGCCATTTATGTTGAGAGTGATTATTGAAAGATACGTTTTTATTGACATCATGTTACCTGTGAAGTCCTTGTTTCTATAGATTGTCTCTGTAAATTTCTGTTTTATGACACTCTTGGGTTTGTTCTTCTTTTATAGAACCCCCTGTAATATTTCTTGTAGTGCTGGCTTGCTGTTCACATACTCTTTTAAACCTTGCCAGTCTTGGAAGCTCTTTATCTCTCCATCCATTTTGAATGTCATCCTCACTGGATAAAGTATTCTTGGCTACATGTTCTTCTCATTTAGTGCCCTGAATATGTCTTGCCAGCCCTTTCTGGCTTGCCAGGTTTCGGTGAACAGGTCTAACATTATTCTGATGGACCATTCTTTGTACATAAGGAATTTCTTCCCCCTAGCTGCTCTCAAAAGCTCTTGTCTAAAATTATGATTCATCAGTCTTGCAATCAAGTGCCTCGAGGTCTTTCTAGATGTCTGTACTGCCTGGAGCCATCTATACTTTCAATGCCATCCCGATTAAAATTCCACTGGCATTTTTCAAAGAGCTGGAACAAACAATCCTAAAGTTTGTGTGGAACCAGAAGAGACCCTGAATTGCTAAGGAAATGTTGAAAAAGAAAAACAAAACTGGGGGCATCACGTTGCTTGATTTGAAGCTTTACTACAAAGCTGTGATCACCAAGATAGCATGGTCCTGGCACAAAAACAGACACAGAGACCAGTGGAACAGAGTAGAGAGCCCAGATAGGAACCCTCAACTCTGTGGTCAAATAATCTTTAACAAAGCAGGAAAAAATATACAGTGGAAAAAAGACAGCCTCTTCAATAAATGTGCTGGGAAAATTGGACAGCTATGTGTAGAAGAATGAAACTCGACCATTCTTTTACACCATACACAAAGATAAACTTGAAATGGATAAAAGACCTCAACGTGAGGCAGATATCTATCAAAATCCTAGAGGAGAACATACGCAGTATCCTCTTCGACATTGGCCACAGCAACTTCTTTCAAGATATTCTCCAAAGGTAAAGGAAACAAAAGAGAAAATGAACTTTTAGGACTTCATCAAGATCAAAAGCTTCTGCACAGCAAAGGAAACAGTCAACCAAACAAAGGCAACCCACAGAATGGGAGAAGATATTTGCAAATGACACTACAGACAAAGGGCTGATAACCAAGATCTATAAAGAACTCCTCAAACTGAACACACACAAAACAGATAATCACGTAAAAAAATGGGCAAAAGACATGAATAGACACTTCTCCAAAAGAGACATACAAATGATTAACAGACACAAGAAAAAATGTTCATCATCATTAGCGATCAGGGAGATTCAAATTAAAACCACACTAAGATACCACCTTACACCAGTTAGAATAGCCAAAATTAACAAGACAGTAAACAACAAGTGTTAAGATGTGGAGAAAGGGGACCCCTCTTACACTGCTGGTGGGAATGCAAGTTGGTACAGCCGCCTTGGAAAACAGTGTGGAGATTCCTTAAGAAATTAAAAATAGAGCTTCCCTATGACCCTGCAATTGCACTACTGGGTATTTACCCCAAAGATACAGATGTAATGAACAGAAGGGCCATCTGTACCCCAATGTTCATAGCAGCAATGGCCTCAGTCACCAAACTGTGGAAAGTGCCAAGATGCCTTTCAACAGACAAATGGATAAAGAAGATATGGTCCATATATACAATGGAGTATTAATGCCTCCATCAGAAAGGATGAATACCCAACTTTTGTATCAACATGGACGGGACTGGAGGAGATTATGCTGAGTGAAATAAGTCAAACAGAGAGAGTCAGTTGTCCTATGGTTTCACTTACTCATGGAGTGTCAGGAATAACATGGAGGACATAGGGAGGTGGGGAGAAGTGAGTGGGGGAAATTGGAGGGGGAGACAAACCATGAGAGACTGTGGACTCCAAGAAACAAACTGAGGATTTTGGAAGGGAGGGGTAGGGGGTTAGGGTGAGCCTCGTGGTGAGTATTAAGGAGGGCACGTATTGCATGGAGCGCTGGGTGTGGTACATAAACAATGAATCTTGGAACCCTGAAAAATAAAGTAAAATTACCCAAAAAACCCATATTGAGAAACCATCTTACACTAGTTAGAATGGCCAAAATTAACAAGACAGTAAACAAGTGTTGGAGACAATGTGGAGAAAGGGGAACCCTCTTAGACTAAGGAGAGCATGTACTGCATGGAGCACTGGGTGTGGTACATAAACGATGAATTCTGGAACACTGAGAAAAAATTAAATTAGATTTTTAAAAAAATGCAGTGACATGTTCCTGCTTAACATAAGCCATTGATATTGGCAGTTCCTCTTCAACTTTGGCTCTTTTCTTCCCCCACACTTTTTGGTGTACTTCTTTCTTAAAGAACTTTGCTTGATGCAAGGAGTACTGTTATATTAATATTTACCATAGATTTTTTTAGAAGCTGAAGGGGATGAAAAATGTTGCTGTTAAAATGGTGAGTAGCTGTTAAAGGAGTGAAAAATAAATTCACAGTCACTCATTCTCTCTATAAGGTGCCCACATTAACTCACTTTATTAATTTTCTAATAGCTTCTCCACATCTGTTGAATGCACAACACTGTGTTAGGCACTGAAGATAAAGCAGTCAATAAAACACACATGCTCTCTGCCCTTATGGAGTTCACAGCCGTGGCAATGATTGTACTATGAGTGCTGTAATTGCTCCCAGAAAATATACTGCTTTTTGTTCCTTTTTATTCCGTAAGAGGCACTAATTCTTTGCATCTTTAGATAAGTAGATTGTTGAAAGCATAGGGACACGTATACCAAAGATATCAAATGTTGACATTTTTATTTATAATTTTTCAATGAAAAATTCTGTATTTCAAATACTATGAAATATATATACATAAATATATATGTAAATGCTAGAATACCTGTATAGAACAAGTATGAATAAATAGTAAAGAGAAAACTAGGCAAGGCAAGGCTACATTTAAAATAATATTTTATATGGAATAATTTATATTTGAATCTTTAAAATACAGGTTTATTCATGGTTCATGTGTATGTGCATATCTTATATATACAGTCTCTGTTTGTTAGCTCTCTTTGTATCTGGGAGGATAAAATCCGTATCATCTCTTATTAGCTCATTTGAACATTGTAAAAAGAATTATAAATGATAGAGAAAATTTTATGTTTTGTCTTATATATCTATAATTGAGGACATGTAGTCTTTCACATTTGCTGCTTCATTAATCTCTCCTTGGAAATTTCAAGTTGGATACTTTCATTCATTATATAAATGCATACATGAGCGTGTGTATGTGGTGCTGAAGATAGAACTGCCTAAGTCATGTTCTTGCTGTGGAGCAGTTCGTAGTCTATTTAGGGAAAACTGATTAGGTAAATCACTTAATCACAAAACAAGATCACGGTTGCTATTACAGTAATACTAGCCAAGTACAGAAAACATAGGCTTTAATTACTCTTGTATGAAATTTCTCCCATAAAAATACTCTTTTGGAAATAAATGATTAAGTTTAGGCATTTAGATGTTTTTAAAAGGTATTTGGGTATCATTTTCCAATATTGATCCTTATCTCACTGCATAAATTACTAACATTAACAAACAATAAATTCTAATTATTTAATTATCTGTATAAAACTTTAAGTCAATGAAAATCTATAAAAGTGATTTTTAATTGTATTTTCCTTGAAAAGTTTTTTTGAAATCATCTTCAGTATTGCTTTGAATAATAGTAATGCTAAAAAAAACCTGCATGATTTATTTTTTGTTTATTTACATTTTAGATTTGAAAAATGCGTCAGTGCTAAGGAAGCTTTGGAGACTGATCTTTATAAACGGTTTATTCTGGTGCTGAATGAGAAGAAAGCGAAGATTAGAAACTTACATAAATTGTTAAGTGAAGTTCAAGAACTAGAAAAGAACATTGAGCATGAAAGGTATTTTGAGTTGTCTGTTTTGAGATGGCAGATAGAGAAATTTAAGTGGAATTTTTTCCCAAACTTAATGAAAGTTAAGTGCCATTTTTAGTAATGTGAGATCATTTGATAGTCTGGGGTTAGATGTTGTGCCTGTTGGATGCAGTGGGCTGGAAAAGTCTCAAAATGTTCTCTCCATGTCTGCTCACTGTCATAACTACAGTTAAAACTGGCATGTGGTTTATCTAAGTGTTATTTGTGTAATTCTTAGACATCATTTAAAAACAATAAAAACTTTATCTTCTGTAAAACTGCAGAGTTGAATACACATTTGTAATATTGGTGTCTAAGGAGTGGTTACTTTTAGAATCAAGGGTTCTGAGAGTGGATGCATCCTTGATTTTTAAGGAAGAATCACAGGTGACTTATAGCTGGTATGGTTTAGACAATTATAATTATTTTAGTCTGATTTTTATTGTTTTACTACTTTATTTATCCACTTAATTATTTTAGTGGATCCAGGTTTGCATCTTTTGCCCGAATCTGAGAGAACACAAAGATTTACTAATGGCATCATATGAAGAATATAACATTTGATGTCAAATGGACCTCATTCAAGTGCTGTCTGGCACTGATACCTGCTAGTACATGACTTTGGACAAGTCCTGTAAACTCTCTGTGCCTTACTTGGCATCTTCATAGTAAGAAGAAGGGTGCCTCTCTGAAAATTTGGGGACCGGCAAAAGCAAGGCAAGAACTGCTTTGAGATCAGTAAAGTACTGAACACTCTGTGATCCTCAGAAGACAACTCAGAAGAATAGTGTTTTGATAGATGAATAAGATGATGAGAAACTGAAGAGCTGATTATAGTGAGCACGAAACCACATTAAATTAGGTAGAAGGGAAACTTACTCTTAAGAGAGTTAACATACGGTCTTTATAAAGTGCTTTCATCTCAATCATGTATGTTTCAGTATATGTTTGGTTAAGGTATTTTTCCAGGGATATTTTCTATAATTATTTACTGGTGAATTTGATACCTAGCCAGGGGTGAGCCAAAAATTTATAATTCTACCTTTCTGTGTTTCTAGGGAAACCACAACACATTCTGAAGTGGCTGCTGACAGGGATGCAATCTATGATGAAAGCACTGATGAGGACAGCGAAAACTTGCCTGATCGCTCTGCGTTAGCTCCAAGTAAGAGGCGTGCATTCATTTCCTTTGTTGGAGATCTCACTCGGGCTTATTATCCTAAAGATAATGAACTGTAATGAAAAATGTTATGAAAAAGGTCTTTTCTACAAAAATTCTTCAGGGTTTTTAGTCTAGAACCTCAAGTACTTCATGTTAAAAAGTATATTTATTATACAGTGCGGCAACTCGTTAGCAGTAAAACAAACAAGCACACACACACACACCCCAAGGCATGCTATCTCCTATTAAATAAGGGTACATAAGGAATAAGCAAGATATGCATGTGTTCATGCTAGTTGTATCTAGCGCGAAGTTGGTGGCCTTTAACTTGTGAGATCTTATCCAGCTAGAGCTATGGATGGGCAAGGAGTGGGGCGATCTAGAATGCTTCAGGTTATCTTGAGGTTGAGCCTTCTTTCACTATTCAGAATAGGGATTTTAGCAGGGGGAGATGGGTGATGGGGGAACAGAAGGGGAAATGGCAGTTTATGCTCAAGTACCTGAGCCTTACTCAGTCCCTCAGATCTAAATCCATGAATAATATTTCTAAATGTTTATAGATTTCCTAGATGCAAGAGTCCCTGAACTCATCTTACACTTACGTGGTTCTGGCAGAATCCTAGTGTTCTCAAAATAAATGTTTGATTCATTTATTTAGCAAATGTTTTCTGAGTGTCTGTTAGGTACCAGAAACTATTCTCTGTCGGAGAGCAAAAAACAAATATTTTTGTTTTCATGCAGTTTATGAATTCTAGTCAGGGAAACAGACAAAAACAAGGTGAATATATTGAATATAAGCTATATTAGATAGTGATAAATGCTGAAGAGAAAAATATACCAGGGAAGGATAATAGAAAATGTCAGGGTGGAAGTAGGATAAAGGTTATAATTTTAGCCAGGGCACCAGAAAAGGTGACACGTCTATCTGTGGGGTGAGCATGCTAGGCAGGAAAAAAGCAGTTAGTACAAAGACCCCGATGTGGGAGCTTTCATCAACTTTTTACTGATGTGTTTAAGCAATAGCATGGAGGGAGGTATGGGTACAGTAGGATGATAGAGATAGGGAGAATGGAGATATGAGGTCAGAGAGAGGGCATATCATGTGTAGGGCCTTATAGGCTATTGTAAGGATTTCAAGGTTTGCTTTCAACTGCACTGGAAACTGTTGGAAGGTTTCGAACATCAAGTGATGTGATCTGACTTATAGTTTTAGCAGGATTAATCTGGCTGTTATGTTGAGAATAGAGTATACATAGTGTGGTAAGCATAGAAGAAGACAGAGAGTGGAAAGCTGGTTCAACAAAGCATGAAGGACGTGAGCGGCTTAGACCAGAGTGACAGCAGTGAATATGGTGAACAAGGGGCAGATTCTAGATATGTCTAGAGGCAACATATTATTGTTGATGAAGTGGGTATCGTACTGAGAGACAGGCATACACCAATCAGGATAAGTGTTTTGGATTGAATACTGAAGGCATGCAGCTGACTTACTGAATTATGAGAGTATGGAAGAGGAGGGTTAGGAACTCAGTTTTACAAACCTTAATTCTGAGATACTAAGTAGGGAGTTGGGTATACAAATTTGGAGTTAGGAAGAGGGCTTCCTGCTGAAGATGTTTAAGTAAAGAGGCATTTGAAGCCGGCTGAGCTATCAAGGGAGATAGAGAAGATAGAAAAGGGTAGTGATCAAGGACTCTGCCCTCATACACTTGAATGTGTAGAGTGAGGAGACCAGCAAAGACTGAGAGGGAGCAGCCAGGCAGGCAAACATGGTAGGACACACAGGTGTTACTGGGGATCTTAATAAAACATTTTTAGTGGGATAGCAGAAATAGGAGGTTCCAAAAGGGTGAGAGGAGAGAACTGGGAAGAAACAAGAAGCCTAAGCAACACTTTTTAGCAAGTTTTACTGTATAGAAGAGGAAACCTGGGAAGCTGCTTGAAGGGTGTGTGGGGCCAAGAGGGTTTTTTTTTTTTTTTTTTCATCTTTGTCTTAGATGAGAGAAAGAACACCATGTTTGCATATTGATGGGAGTAAGTAAGGAAAGTGGGGGAGTGTTGCTGAAATTGCTGGAATGCTGTTTCTCATAAGTGAAGATGGGATTGAATGGACAAATGGCAGGATTTGGTTAGCTAGGAGCATGGGCACTTTCCATAAAGACAGGAAAGAAAATAGAATAAATGGACAAGACATAGGAAGGTATGTGATTGGGGTCATGGAAATTTCATGATATTGATTACATTAGTTGGTTGATTAGTCTGATTCTAATTAGGTTTGAACTGGATCACACAATCACATACACTCTCACTTTTGCACAGCAGAGTTAACATTTGGAGGCAATGCTTGTTTTACATTAGTGACCCAATATAAAATGAAGTCATTCTTTAATAATCAAATGTAATTGAAGGCTCCCTAAAAAGGGAATCTGTACTCTTTCCAAAAATCTAGATGTTCAAAAATTTTATTGAATATAATGGTCTTTGATTTTGTTCCTTATTCAGAGTGTCTCACCAACCTTTGAAGTAGACGAAAATTATTGTTGAAAAGAAAATATATGGTTAAATAATGGGTATATGGGAATGGGGTCCTGTATGTGTTCTATTTTAGGCAAAGCATTCCTACAATTGTACTATTTTAAATCTGGCTAAATTTCTCTTCTCTTCAGAAATGTTTAGTTCATTGTACATTTTTTCTTTTACATGGCGTATTTTCTTTAACTCAAATCAGTTCACTACATACTTGACATATAGGTCTCTGATTCTTTTATTTTTTTTCTTTGCACTTAACTTGCTTTTGGCAGGTTTTGATTTCAAGAATTAAGAACATTTTTATTCAAAATTTTAACTATCCTTTTCCTTCTGCTTCAGTAAGAAATATTTGGGAAACTGAAGTTTGGAGGGGGGAAAAAAAAGAACCTCAGATCTAAAATGCTTGGTATTGAATAAGAACTGGATTCCATATATCTGAGGAAAAACATTTTAAGTGTTAAACAACAGAATAAGCTTCTTTATAGCTTACCAGATTCTATAATTCATTCTTTTACAGAGACAAAATTATACTCTTAGTCTATGGGAAATATGTTTATATATTTAATCATAGATTCGTCTTTTGGTATTTTATATACTATTACTATGTATCTGGACCAGAGGAATGAAGGTTTCTTCCTGAACTTATTCTGCCATCTTGATAATGAATTACCTATTCTTATTGTATAAGTAAATATTTGAATTTATTTTAGGTAGTGCAGGTTCATGTGTGCTTTCCCTATGATATGAACAAGAGGAAAAAACTAATGTGATTTAATACATTTATTCTTTCAGAAAGTCATTTATTTAAATGGCTAAATGTTTAACTTGGTAGTCATTTCTATTATGTAAATGTGTGTTCATCATTAATTGTAAAAAACCATCGAATTTCCTAATGATTCATTCCTGCATGATAATAATTTAGTGAGACCAGATCATTTAGTGATTCCACAGTATTCATTCAAGGAAAAGTTCTGCTTATTTTCATACATATATCCAGATGTACAATAAGGATATTGTAGTTTACAGGAAATAAGCAGGTAACTATTTTATGTATGGGCAATCTATTTTATTATTTTTTTTTCTCCAAAGTTTTAAATTTCCCCCCATCATTAGAGTTGTTGAGGAAATAACTGATGACAGTACTCTAATAAACTACGTCATGTTCATATGTATTATACCATATATTATGAAAAACCTCTAAATTTGTTTAAAGTTGGTTAGCTAAAAGGAGATCTCCGAAGTATTCTGAAACTTGAACATCACAGTCTGTACCATCCACAACTACATTTTATACTTTTCTGTAAATATATAAAACAAGATTTACTTTCTGTAGGTCTTAACTTCCAGAATTTCTAGATAGGTAACAATGGTATTACAGACTTAGTTTAAGAAATAAATTCTTACTGCATGCTAAAGTCTTAGAGTTCATAGGTATTTAACTTTGTTTCAGATTAAGATTATGATAGATGAGCTGGTTGCCATGGTCTCTGTTTATAGCTCAACCCCTGGATTACCAAGGAGGATGAATTACTTGCACTCTCACCTAGTTTGTGTAACTCCTTGTGGCTCTAAGGATTTCCTGGTTTGTCTGGATTAGTCCTACCTCCAGTGTTGTTTTGTTTTTGGTTTTTGTTACATTTTTTAATTGAATGGAAAAATAACCATGTTGGGTTTTTATAGATTTAGTAAAACAACCTTTTCTACAGGAAATCTTCTGTTTCTTTGGATACAAATCAAGGTAACACCTGATGTCCATATCTTTGGAGAAACTTCAGATTGAAGTAGGTCTCCTGAATAACAGAACCTCACCAAAATAAAAAGAGAGAGAAGTGTAGTTAGTATAGCATCTGAGTGCCAAAACGTCTAGCAGTGCATCCATGGCCTTTTATTTGCCCCCAAAATATCTGCCATAGCCTAAAAATTAGTTTATGGTTATGTAGTTTTTCATGTTTATAACCATTTTGATGTTATAATAATAGTAGAATTGTATGTGAAAATAATTCTTAAATGTATATGAATATTCCAAGAATTTTAACCAGTATTATAAAACATTTATTAGTGTTAGCATAATTCAGAATGTGGGTGAATATTTAGTACAAAGATTGGGCTTATCTCATTGAAATAGGATCTTTCCTGTGAAGCTTTTTGAAAACTTATGCTTAATTGGTTCCTAATTAGCTTTTACAAGAGGAATTATTTTAATGTCTCCTTAATTATTTCAAATTATTTATTTTTAAATTAAGATAATTAATATTTTTATATTATAACTCTATTAGTAGAAATTGACAATATTTCTCAAAATTAGAGACCAATTAAATTAGCCTTACTAAAAGTATAAATATGAAAAATATTTATTCTAAAATATTTTATTCTTCTTCATTTTAAAAGTGCACAACCACTAAAAACAAATAAAAATAAGCTTTCTATCACTGATCTGCATAAATATTAGCCTGGGATTTAGCACATTAGTTTAATTAGTCTTGATTCTTTACCAACAGGAAGGCCCCTGTATTACTGCTATCAGTAATTTAGGCTTCTACTTAGTTGGTGGGCTTCCTGAAAGGAAGTGTGATTATAGAATAGCCTTTTAGAAAATAAATGAATGGCTATGTCAAAGAGTCGATGAATACTGATATAGTAGCTTTTAAAAATAGAACAGAATCCAAAATTTCTAAGTATCAAAGAGCTCGTTGCTTCAAACAGTGAATGTCTACTCACAGAAGGGGTAACAACATGTACTGCCAAAGAGATTAGTCAGAAATTCAACTTTAGAATTACAGATTATTCTCTTAATCTTATCCAGTTTGTTTATCATAGACTTGTTTATTTACAAATTCTTAATAAAAAGCTTGATTTAGTGAAACCTGTCACAAAAACCAGAGGAGCAATTTGAGTGTATTTCGTAGCAATTATACATAAGCAACATTGCTCAGGAATGATACTATGTACTTCAGAGATCTAAATCTCATATAGTTCTGGATCTTCTAATTCAAGCCTGTCATTTTTCAGATGAAGAAACAGAGGCCTACAAAGGTTAAATATATTACTGCTGGTTACACAGGAGAAAAGAATGAGAAAATACTTGCCTCCTATAGTAGTAAATCACAGTTGCACATTTCTTTTTGAGATATTTTTAAAAACTTTGGAAATTTCCTAACACTGAGGAGATTGCAATTAATGCAATAGGGTGATGAGAACACTTCCCCTGTTGAAGAGGAGATTCTGTTTGTACATAAATTCTCCAGAAAGACAGGCAACATCATCAGATTAAAAAACAAGACTTAATGACACATAGTTATGGAGGAAATTCCAGAATACACATCCATCTATCTATCTATCTATCTATATTCCTTCCTTCTCTTCTCTTCTCTTCTCTTCTCTTCTCTTCTCTTCTCTTCTCTTCTCTTCTCTTCTTTTCTTTCTTTCTTTCTTTCTTTCTTTCTTTCTTTCTTTCTTTCTTTCTTTCTTTCAGGGGGAGTGGGAGAGGGAGAAGCAGGCTTCCTGCCCAGCAGAAAGCCTGATGTGAGGCTCAAACCCAGAACCCTGGGATGATGACCCGAGCCAAAGGCAGACACTTAATGACTGAGCCACCCAGATGCCCCCAGAATATGCATATTTCTATTGAGGTTATTCCTTGTATATTTTTTCTATTTAGATATAATTGACATACAACATTGTGTAAGTTTAAGGTGTACAATGTGTTGATTTGATGTAGTTGTATATTACAATATGATAACCACAGTAGCATTAGCTAACACCTCTACTGCATCACATATTTATCATTTCTTTTTTTGTGGTGAGAACATTTAAGGTCTAGTCTCTTTGCAACTTTGATTTTATAATACAGTATTGTTGCCTATAATCACTAAGCTGGGCATTAGATCTTAAAGACTTATTTATCTACCTAGCTGCAAGTTTGTACCCTTAAGTATCTCTCCAATTCCCTTACCCTAGCCCCTATCAACTATTATTCTACTCTTTTTTTTGTGAATTTGGCCTTTTTAGATTCTGTATATAAGTGATATCATACAGTATTTATCTTTTTCTGTCTGACTTCTCTCACTCCCTCCGTATTAACTGCTTCAGGTTTTGACTTAGTATTTATCTACATAAGAATCTCAAATATATGAAAGATTTGCAGTAATCTGTGATAATTTTTCTACACTATACTATTAAAACTTTGATATGCCCTTCTAGGCAATTATTTCTGTACCTTTATATATATATTCTTGGAGAGACAGAAAGAAATTCTGTTAATATTTATTTCTGCCTATGGATGAATGAGAAGGTTAGGTAATCTCCCCCCAAAATAACTATAAACTGACAAAAAAGAAACAAATAAACATTGAGGTGCTCTGCACTCGATCTTAGCCAAGAGGCCAAGAAGCAATTCACTGAAATGCTAAAGCAAGTAAGGAAGGCAAAGAACAATAGGAGAGGTATTTATCCTTGAAAAATTGCTGAAATTCCATTAAGAACTCGGAATCTGTGCACTTCTTGCCTAGGGTTGCCCTCATTGCTGTCCTGTGCACTTCTTCCTTGCCCTCTCCCACATTCCTTGAGTTTGTTCAGTATGGAAGTCCTGTCAGGACCTGGGAGGCTGTGAGGACTGGCAACTGTTAGGCCTGGGTCAAAAAAAGCTCACTCGGTGTGGAGAAGAATACTCACATTTGGCAGTGTTGGTGAAAGTAATGTTCCTGGCTGCAGTGGCTAAGTGCATTGGACCAATCAATCTACCAACCTAAAGTCAGCCTGCTGTGTGACTATAATTGTACCATCTTGCTCCAAGAATCTAAGACTAGGATTTTACAGAGTATGGTGACTTCACCTAAGTATTCATCTACCTGCTGTTTCAATGGGTAATATGTTGTGAGAGAAAAATTATGTGATCACTTACTCATTTTTTTCTTTTCTTCATAGCTTCTCAGGGTCTTTAATATGCTAAAGAAGATAGTAATGAAAGGTAGAATGTACTGTGAAATGTTTCTCAAACTTACAAGACCTTAGGAACTTTTTCAATGGAAGATGTTATGCCGTGCACCCTATGTGAGAAATTCTGCTTTAAACCATTTCTATTCATATATAAATTAGGTGAAAAAAGGAGAAGACTCTAAAGAGAACAAATATTTTCCCAAAACAGTCTCTTTATGTCCATATTTTAAGAGGATATGTACTAAATAGGGGGAATGGATCATATAATCAAGGATATATACTTAAAATATAGCATGAACCCATGTGAATATTAAACCTCAGAATGTGCAGTGAGTAACTTTCAGGATTCTGAAGATGGCTTAAAAATTATATTTTTGCCACTGTTGTAGTACGAGTACTGATCTGAGAATGGACTTAGGACAAATGTTGACTGATAATATTAACAGTTGACAGAAAACACTACTTAATGTTATTTAATTTGGTTTGTTCTAATCTCAAAGCTCATTCTTAACTTCTGGTTCTTAAGTAGTTAACAAGGGGATCTTTGAACCCTTTGGAGTTATATATAAAGTTATATACATAAATGCATGTATTAGTTTGTTGGGCTGGTATAACTCAGTATCACAAACTGGGTAGCTTAGACAACAGAAATATATTGTCCCACACTTCTGGAGGATAGAAGTTCTAAGTCAAGATGTCAACAAGGTTGATTCTTTCTGGGCCAGGAGGGAAGGCTCTGTCCAGGCTTCTCTCCTTGACTTGTTGAAAGCCATCTTCTCCGTCTCTTCACATCACTGTCCCTCTCAGTGTTGCATTGAAATTCCCCTTTTTTGTAAGGACAGCAGTCCCACTGGGTAGGGCCCATCCTGTAACCTCAATTGATTACCTTGGTGAATCCTCTGTTTCCACATAAGAATTCCACATTCTTCAGCACCAGGGATTAGGACCTCAAAATGTCTTTTTGGGAGGGACACAGTTCATCTCATTATAAATGCACAAGTACACTTTTCTAGAGCAAGGTTCAAATTTTTTTATATTTTCAATAGGGAGTATATTCCAAAAATGATTCAGAATCATTGACCTTAGGAGAATGGTATTTAAACCAAAAAAAGATGGGATAAGACACATTAAAAGGAAACTGAGAAGAGGAGAAAATAACTTTCAGGCAGAAACGAAATCACCCTCTGTCAGTTCATTCATTGGTTTGGGTTTTGTCAAGAGCTGCTCTGCACTGTTCAGTCAGGTAGGCACTAGTGACGTGAGACTGTTGAACACTGGAAATGTGACGTGTCCAAGTTGAACTGTACTTATAAATATAAACCAAACATTGGATTTCAAAAACTTAGTATTAAAAAAAGAAGTAATGTGTCTCATTAATACATTTCTATATTAATTAAATCTTGAAATAATCATTTTTGGATGTATTGAGTTAAATATATTATTAATATTACCTTCATTTTCTTCTTTTTTACTCATTTGGATGTTTTAATAGGAAGTTTAAAATTCTACATGTGACTCACATACTTCTATTTGATGTACTGATCTTGGTGTTCTAAAAAGTTCCATTTCAGGTTGATTTTATGGTGCTATGATAGATGTATATTACTGTGAAAATGAAATCAAATTGTACTACCAAGTTTTTATGAAGCTGTTAATGTAAAGCCGTGAGATCTTTAGGTGGGTGTAGATGACTATGGGTGTAATTGAGTATTTATGTCTAAGAAATGCAAAAGGTTTTACACTTTTTAATTTATTTACTGTTTTTTGATTGGTTGTAGTAAAACAAACTTAAAAAAGCCTGGATCACCTTTGTCATAGGAAAATGAGGCTAAACATTTTTATTGCCCTGTGTAACTGCAACCACGACCCAGTTGAGACAAAAGGTGGGGTAATGCAGCAATAATCTCTAAGTTAGCTGCATTTCTATAATG